AGTTGATCATCCCATGAGACATGTGTGGCTCATTCGTAAGCTGTACAAAGCCGACAAGAAAATAGAAGGTTATGGTGATTAAAAAGAGACTAAGTGATAACGAAAACAAACAGCAAAGAAGCATGAGAATGGGGAGTGGCAAGGGGATGCCATAAACCAAATACTGCACAGATAAATAGAGAATTAACATTCCACGACACAACTACTTACTTTTTTAGGTACCAATAAGTTGTAAGTGATACTGCTGGAAAGTAGAAACCATAAAATAATACAAGCTCTAGTTCTCGTAATAGAGTCCAAAAGATATATACTAACTAACCAAAGAAGTAGCAGAACACCAAGCGTGTGAAAGTGGGAAAGTTACAGGCAGCATTGCTCATAAATCATAATAATTGAAAGGCGTATATATACACACCTGAGCATTTGCTTTAAAAGTGAGATTTTCGGACAAATCGCACTTGACTCTGGCATTCAGCCTTCCATCAGTCAAAATTCTCCCCCAGAGCAACAACTGCAGAACAGCGTCATCAGTGAGAACACACTCTAAAAGCCACTAACAGAAGTGCCATTTTCAACGAAAGGCAAAAGTTACCCTAGGATGATCAATGAAGGTTGAGCCAAACTCATAGTGAGCAGTGGGAATCTTAATGGTCTCAGTGGACTGAGAAGGAATCTCAGTAGGTCCCATCAACACGCTGATCAGACAACACCAACAACAACAAATAAATAAATGAACGAACTTTCACAATTGAATTTCATAAATAAATTTTAAAAAATAAAGGTACCTGTGATTGAGAGAGAACTTCTGATTGAGCATCTTGGTGAAATCAAAACGCATGCCCTCGAAAAGATCCGGCTTCAAAGACACTACCCAAAAAAAAATAAAAATAAAAGTAGGAGCTGAAAATGTTTACGAAATGGAAGCGAAACACGAAGATTGAAATCGAGATTGGGAGTGAGATTGAGATGACTGACTCATGGCCTCGCGGTGGAGCTCTTCGAAGGGAATTGGACATGGGAGATTGAAGTAATCGACCTTGGCGTCGACGGCGGGAGCGGGAGCGGGAGCGGGAGGAGGAGGCACGGTGGTGGCCATTGATGAACGAGCGAGAGAAGAGGAACGCAAATCTGAAGAGTGAGAAGTTCTAAAACCCTCTCAACAACCTTCCACCACTGCTAAAACCCTAATTCTCTTTTCCTTTTCTGTCTCACTCAGCTAAGCTTATACAACTTCACCCTCACGCTTAAACCCGACCCGACCCGATCCGTTTTCGTCGCAGTACGGAACGGGTTTCTTACGAATGCACTATTCGCCTTTACCCGAATCATACCCAAATAGTGGTGCTAATTAATTAGAGAACTTCCACAAATTCACATCTATTCCTTACTTTCTCATTTAAATTTAAAATATTTATTTTAGATGCTGTTACTCTATTCACTTTTTTTTTGTTACGATCACAATAAGTCAAAGCTTATCAATAATAAAATGAATTATATTACCGGTATACATAAATTGAAAAGTATTAAACATACTTTGTTAAATACTATTTTAAATTAGTCAATAAGTAAGCATTACAATTTTTTATATATATTTTAATATGACGAAATTTTTTTAAAAAAAAATTATTTTATTTTATATTATATAAATGCTAGTTAGTATCTCAATAACTCTAGATAAAAAAAATTATAAGTAAATAATCATTAAAAATATTTTATAAAGGTTAGTTTGATTCACAAAGGAAGTGAAGAGATTTTAAAAAATAATTTACCTTTATATCCCTATAATTTTATATTTAAAAACATAAATAATAATATTTTAAACATTATATTAAAAATGTTTCAAAATTTCCTATCTCTCCTCCAAATTCCTTCAATATTGGAGGTGAGCTAAAATTAGATAAATATGAAGTTTGCTTTCCTACTTCCCTCTACTAAAGTTGAACAATATTGAAGGTTAGTTATATAACTTTAGTTACCAAAACTAATCTTTCACAAAAAGTAAAAGATTTTGAGTATTTTGACCAATTCTTTGTTAACTACCTTACAAGAAATAGGAGTAATAAGTGATATTAGTGAGTACCATTTTGGATGATACAAGCACATGACAATAATCAATGTAGTTAATGTAATATTTTTATAAATATTTTGATAAAATTATATTTTTATTATATAATATTAATTATATATATTAAAAAACCACTAAAGAATATTCTCTATCAAACATCTAAACAAGTTTGAACTAATTGAATACGTATATCATAAATTTCCTGGATTGATTTTCCATTTCTAGAAACAATATAATTTATAACTTTAAGTTTCAGATTATCTATTTTAGAATGTATAATGAAAAAAAAGTTTTACTAAATTGATACCATCTACTATTTCACATGAAATGATGGGACGAATCAAAACAAATACTTTTTTTAATAATTGTGATCGAACAATTATTCACTAAATTTTTTATTAAAGTTAATACATAAATATAAAGATATTATTTAGTTGATGTTATTAATACAATATTTTAACAAATATTTAAATAAATTAATATTTTTTGATAAGATATTATTTATCATATTTAATGAACATAATGCTAATATATATATATATATATATATATATACATTAAAATACAGTTTTTTAAATTAATATATTTACATTAAAATTCTATTATTAAATAAAATACAAATACTATTAAACTTAATACTTACATGTATTATTTTATATTATATATATACATAAATTGACACATGTATATATATATATATATATATATAATTTATCTTATAATTTCTATTTACCTTTTTTATGATTGTTAGCAAAACTGTTATTTTCTCATAAACTTCTTAAAGAATTTAATTTTTTAAAGAACACTATTTTAGAATTATTTTTCAGTTATAATCAATAATTTAAAGTTAATATTTAACAATGAATAAACAAAAAATCCAATAAATATATGTTTTAATGACAACATGATGAAATTAACTATCCAGGTGTATATTTATAAGAGTTAATCACCTATACACTGCCGGTGTAAAATTTTTTTACACTAACAACCAATCAGATCTTTTAATAGTGTCATGTCATTTACTTATTTAATGAAATAAAAGTAAAATAAAATAATTTAAAATATCTAATTGGTTACCAGTGTAAATTTTTTTTACACTGGTAGTGTATTAGTGATTAACTTTATTTATAATGCTTATTTTCAAAACCATATTACAAAGCATTTATATATACTATATTTGGAAAATTAAAATATAATAAAAAATTAAAAAATAATAAACTCAATAACTCTTACCATCTGAGGTTCAACACCAAACTTCTAGGTCTAGAAATACGACACTTAGATTTTCCTTTGGTTAATAAAATGTTTTTGTTGACAAGGCTGTCCTCAGAAAGATTAACATATTTCTGAACTATAATCATTTTTAACCTTCCAAAACATTTCTTCACTTACTACATGTTTTGGCATCTTTGAATACCACCAAAAAATCCTCTAAAGCTTTTCTTCATGTGAAAATTTTTAAGGCTATGTCATCGTAAAGTGGAGCTAGATGAAAAAATCTTATTAACGCTCACGAAACAATAATATTTTATTACTTTATAGAATCTTTTATTTTATAAAAATATTTTATTAACACCACCAATGAAATGTCAAAATATCATATTATTTTTCATGACAATTTTGGGGGTTGATTAATAGACAGCCCGACTGAAAACACACGAAGGAGAGCATTTCAATTTTAATACCCTACCAAAGTCAAATTAAAGCCCGTGCATTTTTTTGGTTTTAAAGAAAAGGTATATCACCTCACTAGGATGACACCTATCGCAACTCTATACCAATTCAGTATTTACTATAAGAAAAAGAGAAGAAAAAATAATTAAATTAAAGCGCGTCTGTGTATGTATAACTTGTTAGACAAACAATCCTTTTTTGCCTTTTTCCCCTCTCCTTACGGGTAGTACAATCGTAGTTACTTTTTATAACATGTTAGATATTCAAACTGCATCAATGAAATAGAACCGTAATACTTCTCTAATATAGCAAAAGAATAATCATCAAATTTTGTCCATAAAACATCATTACATTCTCTTCCAAATCCATTTCTAAAATCTAATAAAATTATTTAAGAAATATATAATAAATACACAGTAAAATATTGTTCAATTGAATCCTTGGATTAATATATTTAACTACCACTTAAGGGACTAATTTAAAAGAATTACGATATAACATAATTTCTAATTCTTTAAATAAATATTAATAACCAAAAATTACACTTAATTGAAAGAACTGAAAAATAAGTTTATTTCAATAATGGATTATATACAATCAGTCATAATCAGAATCAGATAATTTTTGGGTAATAAGTTGGCTACAACCCTTAAAAAAAAGGCTAGAAAATCAGTGTTAATATATTTAATTTTATGAACAAAAAAAATTAGATTTTACTCAATAATTTTTTATAGAAAATAAGCAGTATAGAAATTTCGATTGTCCCTTTCCTTATCCTAAAAAACAGTTGAAACGGTAAAATTATACCCAAATATGCAATGATTGGAAACGAATGAAGACATAATTTCCCTAAAACCTAAACCTTTAAAACAAAAGGGGTTGATTGGGCAAACGTTCGTATACCATGATTCTTGCGAAAGCCCTCTTTCGGCCAAAATTCTTCATCGAAAACAATTTTGTACTTGAAAGTTGAAAAACATATAGAGCGAAATGACAGAGAATCGAGAATGGCAGAGGTGGGAAATGGATTCTGAATTTGTGAAGGTGATGAGAAAGCATATGGCTAGAAATATTAGTTCACAAGGTATCAGCTTGTGTTACGGCTACTTCATAATGCATTTCTTCGAATATCTTGTGTGCCTATTTCCGAGTGAATTACTCCAAGACAAAATCCCTCATCTGTGGAACATTACATGGTTCCAACTTTGCGAGTTTACATCAACCATCGCAATAACAACACCAATGCACACAAATCGATTCCAATACAGAAAGAACCAACTATAATTAAACCATAAATATACCGTAAAACGCAACAAAACCTAGCTTTAGGATTCAGCGCAATAGAAGCACCAATCCAACCACAAAAAGATAGTACCCAAACAATTATATTTAAAGTAATGACATAACTTAAACTTGCCTAAAACATAATCATATAACTGTATCCAAAATTCGATTAAACAACTCAGCGCAAAACAAATAACAGAGTACTGGAACAACAACTTATGACAGTAACATAAAAAGATAAAGCGAAAATCAACGGTAGGATTTCTGGAACCTGGCGCGAGCACCGCGACCTCCGAACTTCTTTGGCTCGCAGCGGCGGGGATCGGCGACGAGGAGAGTACGATCATACCTGACGAGAATGTCCTTAATCTCCTTCTTGCTCTGTTCATCGACGTACTTCTGGTAGAAGGCGACGAGTGCCTTGGCGATGCTCTGGCGGATGGCGTAGATCTGGGAGGTGTGACCGCCGCCCTTGACGCGGATGCGCATGTCGACGCCGGCGAAGCGGTGGCGGCCTAGGAGGAGGATTGGCTCGAAGGCCTTGAAGCGGAGGATCTCCGGCTCCACGAGCTCGATCGGACAGCCGTTGATCTTGATGAGGCCTCGGCCGCGCTTGCAGTAGGTGACGGCCACCGCCGTCTTCTTCCGGCCGAAGCACTGGACTTGCTCGATTGCTGGCACCTGCGCCATTGTCGCCGCTAGGGTTTGGGTTTGGGTTTGGGTTTAGGTTTTCACTGCGCCTCTCACTTGTGCGAAATATCAGTGTCTCTCTCTTTATATATCTACACCCCAATTAGGGTTTTTGAGACTGCCAAAATGCCCTCATTGCCCCTCCTAATTACGCCACCCCTACCTATATTTTAATATAATAATAAGTATAGTATTACAATTATATAATTATAATAATAAAATAAAATAACTCTATAGACATATCAAAATCAATATGTTTTCCAAAAAAATAAATATAATAAAATAAAATTACTATGCTTCTATTATGAAAAAATATTAATGTAATTGATAAATTAATTTAACTAGTACGACTAAATATTGATAAACAAAAATAGAATTAGATAAGAAGTTAAAAAAAATTCTAAAATTCTTCTCATTAAAGAAATTTTTAAAAAAATATCATTTGTGTTTAATATATAAGAGTTGATTATATTTAAAATTTTGTAAATAATTTTTTAATATATAAGTTATATTTTTAATTTAAGAAGTTAAAATTTAAAAAAAAAATTGTCAAAAAAATAATTTGCAAAAATACTAACATAATACTCATTTATATTTAATATATAATGATTGATTTTTTTTTTAGACGAAAAAGCTTAATTTTATATTTATTTCTAATTAAAAACCCCATTAGATATAGTAAAATAAACGTTGAGTAAGGGTGTATCCTTTTATAAAATATAATTTAATTAAGTACATATTTAAAATAATTATGATATCATTTTTAGAAAACAATTGTACTCTTGGTTACGTGATTTGCATATTACTTCTTAAATCATTAAACGTGATATTAAATTAAAAATATATAATAAAATTATTTTTATTTTACGTTTAATTTAAAGTCTATAAAATGTACGTTTTATATGTATGAGTATAAACTATTGACTCCAAACAATTAAAATTTGGTAACCATATTTCATAACTCCCAAGCCATTACTATGAAATGTGTTTTTCTCCTCATCTAGTTTGCTCAATGCTTGTCCATGTAAAGACAATTGCTCCACAAAGCTACCTTAAAGCCATGTCAATAATAACATTAACATTGCTAGAGACATTTAATCTTTATACTCTAATTTGAGTAAATTAGACTATACTCCTGAAATTTTATTTCATGGGGGTAGAGTTGTATTTTGAACATTGTATTTCACAAGCCGAGTTTCTGCAAGGTGAAGGTGAAATTGTGTTGGATGATGAGGGTCAAAGACAATGACAAGTGAAAAGATAGATATTTCTGCACTATCAAATATCCTTGGTAGTTATGATGAGAATGACAGTGAAAATAGTGATAATAGTATACCTACAGTAAGATTTAGTGATGAAGAGAAAAAGACTAATGATGCTGAAATGTTTAATACTAGGAATGGAGAGGAAACAAAGAAGAATAACACTTCACAAGTACTAAAAAAAACAAAGACCAAAATCCTCATTGTTTATACAAATCAATAATAAGAGATAGACTATAGTTAAAGAGCACCAATCAACCTGTCAAAGAGAGCTTTAGATGATGAGTACAACTTAGAGAAACCTAGAGATTGTAAAAAATGATAATAAAAAGATGAGGATCATTTGCAAAGAAGGTTGTCCTTGATCGGTATATTGTGCAAAACTTCCAAATAAGAACACAAGACAGTTAAGGACCTTGGAAAATAACCACTCTTGTAGTAGGGAATATAAATTGAGATTGTTGAAATCCCAATAGTTAAGCAAAAGATATTCTCTAGTGTCAAAGAGAATCCTAACATTAAAATTGTTGATATAAAAGACAAGATTCATAAGAAATGGACATTTGACATTACCAAGTCTAAAGCCTTACGAACAAGGAATTTCACCAAATTTCTTGTTGATGGTTCCTTTAAAGAGCAATACATATGCATACATCACTATTGCTATGAACTTTTGAGATCTAATCCATGGTCTACTATTATGTTATGAGTAGAAGCTTACCAAGGTGGAATGAAAATTTACAGCAAGTGGAAAGATTTACAGCACAAAAAAAATATACAACTTCATTATTTTTTACGCAAATCCTAAATGCATTAAATATATTGTGAATTTTGCTTCTTCTTCTAAAAACTATAAATATTATTCACAATAAGATAATTTTGCTTGGGTTGAGAAGAACTAATATGAGTGACAACATTTTCTCTTTAGTATTTAACTTTATTGCAATTACAAAACTTAAACTTAAAAATTAGAAGAACAAATTAGAAATGATACTTGTATGCGAGTCTAGAGTGTGTATCTTTTATTCTAAACGGACTTTTGAAAGGAGCGCAACAATCATCCAATAATAGTGTCATTGTAGAAAAAAAAGACATTACAAAACTGGTGAATTTTCCTTGATTGCAAAGCAGTGAAAGAGCGAAGCTACATAAGCTATGCAAGTGGCTTCTCTGACATGAAAAGTACGTACAGGTACAACACCTCTTGAAGCTCTTCTCCGTTTCTGCCTCCACTTGTCACTCCTTCGCCTTCACTCTCTGAACCCAACTCTTGTGGGGGTGAAGTGTTGGCGATGGAGTGTTATCCAGTGGGGGCGGCGGCACATTGTGAAGTGTGCCATGAAACTCATAATTTGTGACAGCCCTTCATCTGGAGTGTATCTTTGGAGGCATTGTTGCTTTTAGTCATGCTTATCAGACTGATTTCTGCAGCTTCTTCTATCAGATCAGATGGATTTATAACCAACAAAATAGCTTTGATGTGAAGCAAGGCCACGAGAACCAGCATACGCATGCAGATGACACCAAAACTCACTTCACAAATCTCCTGCTACTGCTTACAACCCATATATTCTCCGAGCAAATAAATTAAGTTCCATTCCAATTTAATATGCGAGATTTGTATGTCACCATTCCAGTCCTTGGTAATACATATCACGGTCTATAATGGATTTCTTGCCCTGGATCCATGAAACCTTAAATAGCAATAACATTATTATCATTGAATTTTCCTTTTGTGGTTAACTAACTGGCTGGGTAATGCATCTGAATTTGAAAACTCAGCTACTTCAGTGGTAGTAGTCTTCGGAAATCTGCTCTGGGGACATGGAAAAGAAGAATGGAAGTAAAATGGAATGTTTTTCGAGTGATGTTGAAAACCTACAGAAAAATTGGAGACAAATACCTCAACCAAGTTAGAATCAAAAAACACCTCTCCTCAAATATTTAATTAAATAGAGAATAAGCTCCCTGCCAACTAAATAATATTATGTATTTAATTTGCACGTGTATCCCATTTCTAGTTTTTAGGCGGACCAAAAAACTGTTACGTTTTGAATAAAAAAACATATCCGCTTAATAACAGTTTTAATTGATTGGTAACCTATTGGATTTGTTAAGCTTATTTGATAATTCTGTCTATTAGCAAACAAGAATGCACAAATATAGATAACATGTATTCTTGAGTTTGTTCACAGAATAATAAAGTCAAGAGGTTAAAATTCCTAAGCTTGGTTTTCACAACCAAACAAGTACAGCGCTTGATCCTGTCCTCAGGTATATTATTTCTGAGAGGTTAATATTTCATAGATTCAAACATTCAGGAGTCGGAAGATCAGCAAAACAGTTGAGAATGCACACAATTCATCCCTACAAAGGTGCGTCCAAGCCTCTTCATGAAAGATCAGCAAAACAGTCCCACGATGTCTACAAAAATTTATGTTTCCTAGGTTTGGCTATTCATGTAAATTAAAAGTTCAGACGAAATAATCACATTTTCAGAGTACATATGATCACCGGCTATCCAGAATATACAACACTATATACAAGTGTTTGAGACAAGCTGTAATTCCTTCATGCTGACTAAATAATTTGAACAGCTAAAATTTCGTACACAAGTTACCAGAAAAATGAGGGGGCTGACAGTTAAAAGTTTTGTGAACCCAACACCTCAACTCACGCACAAAGTTTAGCATTATAGCACGTGCATGAAATGAACAACCTTTGAATATGTTTACTTGGGACATCCCCCTTTTGATTTCTTACTTTCGGTGCCTTCGCTTTTGATCAGCTCTTTGCCTCTTCTCATCATCCCATTCGCGGTCATACAAGCTAATACTCAATTAAGGGCACGACAGTTAACCAATATAATAACTCATATAAAATATAAACAATTATCTTACACAAGCATTTTTAGAAACTTTTCTTCAACCAGAGAATTTCTAGAGATTCTTTTAATTTCATATCTAATCCAGTTTTTATTTATCATAATTATTCATAAATTAAATTTTAATATAAATTATATATTTAAAAATATCTACTCATTCAAGTTTTAAATATAATTTATATATTTAAATATAGTATTAATTTATATACATAATTTCTTTTAAAATTTTAGTTATATATAATAAACAAACCTATGCATTGAACAGACTAAAACACTAGTTATATATATATATAAAAGCATCATTTTGCCGCATTTCTAGAATTTTAAATTAACTCTTTTTCTGCTCATGAAAAAGTGAATGAACATCATGTAATCCAAACAAGAATAAATAGCATACAGAGAAACACACTCATTCTTAATGGTTAGAAATTATTGAAAACTACAAAATTAGGAGAAAGGGTCATTAAATAGAGTGTGAAACCCACCAAATTTTGTGTCTTTCAATAAATTTCAACCCATTAGAAAAAAATGTATCAGAAAGTGATCCCGACATTTCTTATAGCATACAATATCATGCATCTCATCTACTTAAGACTTCTTATGCAGATTCCTTCCATGAATGATGAAACAGGTGGTAAACAAAATATATGCAGATCAAGCACAGAAGTAAACAGTCTAGTGGTGCTCCACCAAAAGATATATTGAAAGACACGTACACATGAATTAGATAATAAGCATGAATATCAATATATGCATTTTGCAATTTAGGATACGGATCAGAATCACGACGATTCAACTTGCTGGCCACCTCTTTACCGTGAATCCTGAGACTTGGTTCATCTATGTAACTTGGATGCTGGATGATTGGTCCTTTTCTGTCTCCTCTATCCCTTCCATCATACCCTACAGACATACCAATACCAGG